ACCAGCAGCAAAGTGCTGCTTCAGCGAATCATGTTTTTATGGTGGGTGTGTGTGGGGGTTGACTGGGTCCAGATGTCGGTTTTATTACATTGTGAACATTATCATTACAGGGCTTGAGAAACACTCATTTCCGTGGCCTCTCAGGGTTCTTCTGACTCTGAGGTTGCAGGTGTCTGAGTGGCTCCTGTGTCTCAGCCTTAATTGTACAAAACCCTAAAGGCTCCCTGAGAGCTCGGTGCCCCTGGGCTCCCTCACCCTCCTCTGCAAGCACTAGATCAGAACTGGCCTCTGGGACCTCCAAGCCTCTGCTGGCATCAGTCCCACGATGTTCGATAACCACCTGGCACTAAGCTGGACACACAAACACAGGCATTTGTCTCCTCAGTGGGTTAGAGATGGAGAGCTGGTGTTGCATGGGCTTTAGAACAGACTGGGGCTCACATCTGGGCTTTATGTTCTTGCCATGTGACCTTAGGCCAGTGATTTCAATTCTCTAAGCCTCAGTGATCTCAGTTGTCCAATGGGCTGGTAATCCTTTCCTCGTTAGGTTTTTGGGAATGTTTGATGAGATGGTGGATGCAAAGCACCTGTCACAGTGCCTGCTATGCAGTAGGTAGGTAGTAAATGGCACCTGTCCTGGGGGAGGACCACCAGACTCAAGCCCAAGAGTTTTGATTGCAACCATCAGCTCTAAACACACATCCTTCTTTGTTGGGGACCAGCCCCAAACTATACTGGGAGTTCCCTCCTAGGAGTTGGCAGAGAGGAGAGGAGGAGGGAAAATGAAAAATCAAAACACAGAGAGAAAATTTTTTAAAGAGCTGGGTAGGGAGTCTGTCCACCTTCAAACGTGAGGACCAGTGGACAGCCCCTCGATCCGGGCTAGCTCTGTTCTTATTACATACATTAAATGGGGTGGAGGAGGGAGCTCAACCCTTACATCATGGTTCTTGCTGGGCTTGTGTTTTCTAACCAAACTATTTCTTTAACTATCTTAATTGCATTGGTTTACCTCTTACTTTTATCACTCTTCGTTAGTGTTGATTCCAACACAAACAAAATCTGGAATGGGAACAAAGTCCAGGGGCAGGACATCAAGGCCAACCCCAATTAGACTATGTACACAGACCCCAAGAGGAGCAATTGAGCCCCTGGGAAGTCTTGTGGGCAGATGGGTGCTGTGCCATTCTCTCTTAGAAGAGACTTTCTCTCCTATAAGATCAAAGTGTGTGCGCTAATATCCGTGCTTTGGACTTCTCTCTTTAATCTTCCCTATCCCCTGTGCTCCCTCCCTCTGGGAGCCCCACCTGTGGGAGCCTGGCCTCCCAGTGCCCAAGGACCTCCAGGCTGAGTCCTGCTGGCGGAGGGGTGAAGGTCCAGCAAGACAATCCTCCTCTCTTCAATTGCCAGACTCGGAGCTGTCACTTTGCAACAGACTTTGAATTTCTCAGCATAGGTCCTGTGGTCTGAATGTGCACCTGCTTTTCTCTGATCCATCTCCCTCCTGTCTCTGATCCCTTTGCCTATCATCTGCAATCATTTTCTTAATTCAATTTCTAACTTGCTTATAACAAATAATTAAATATTGGTTTTAAGTTTATTAAATCACTATTTCTGGCCATATAAGCACATCAAGATATGACTCTTCCCTTAAGTGCCCCTATTTTGACCCTCACTTCTTTTCATCTTCCCAGGATGCCCCAGGCACCACTTATCACACTGGATGTGGCCATGGTGGCGCTGTGATTCTATCTGTCCCACTGGCAAGAGGGAGCAGCAGCAGCTATGGGTGAGGCAGTGCCTGTGGGAGACTTGTACCTGGCCCAGAGCAATGTGTGCCCATGCCACTAGCCTTTCCCTGGGCGGTGCCCCATTCCTGGAATGTCTGTCCCCTGCAAAATCCCTCCCATCCACCATGGCCCAGCCCCAAAGCTCCTGGAAATGCCACTCTCCCAGCCTCCCCCAGCAGAGCTCCTGCTTCCTCTGCGTGGCTCCCACGAAGTCCCACTCACTTATCACCTCAATTACACACGGTTAGTCTTCAACACACATTTAGTTAGCCCTGCTGGTGCCAGCCCTGGGCTAGGCACTAGGAGACAGAGGCTCAACACCAGCCACCACGGCCTCTACAACTATCACCCATTAGTCTCCTCTTCATAGATTCAGCCTAGGAAACAGACTGATATGTGACAGCCAGCCAGAACATCATGCTAGGATGGGACAGGAGGCTGGGTAAGGAAGTGTTGAATGGAACTGAGAGGTTATCACATAATCAGGAAGGTGGTAACTGCAATGGAGGCCTCTGCTCCACCTCCTCAACAGCAAGCAGAGAGCTGTGTGCACCGTGGACGGGCCTGGTTTATAATGGCTTAGCCCACCCTCCCATACAGGGGACCTGTGAGTCCTATTCAGAGAGCATGTGTTTCCCATGGCATGACACAACCTTCACTGAGATAGAAAGAATTCAGGCCTTTGGGATAATATACCACCTTCTCTGACATACAGGCATTTTCTCCTTTTAAAACATTTTTTATTTTTCATTATAAAACATTTTCTTAAAATGTCTTCCTCACCTCTTTGCCATTTTGGACTGAGCACAACCCCTATAACTTCTTACCCCTTTCTGGATGGTTCTGGGTCATTGTTTTTACTGCCCCATACTGACCTATGGTTTCCCCATTCCCAGCTCAGTAAGGAGTGGGGGAGAAAGCGAGATAAGTTTTACAGACAGAAAAGATGCATCTCAAAGGCACCTATCCACCAATTCCAAGATGATAGATTCTGGGAACCAACAAACAACTTATTGATCAAATCTGAGCACGCCTGACTCAGAGAATCTGAACATCGGTGAATTCCCATGTCTAAAACTCTTTGAGTCATCAATTCTGAGCTGTTGATCTGGTAGATTCAGAAGGTGGCATAATTGAGGCCGGGTGCGGTGGCTCATGCCTATAATTCCAGCCCTCTGGGAGGCTGATGTGGGTGGACTGCCAGAGCTCACTGGTTCAAGACCAGCCTGAGCAAGAGCCAGACCCTGTTTCTAAAAACAGCTGGGTGTTGTGGCAGGCACTGGGATCCTAGGCATCCCAGCTACTTGGGAGGCTGAAGCAAGAGAATCACTTGAGCCCAAGAAGTTTGAGGTTGCTGCAGAGAGCTATGATGATGCTACTGCTCTCCGTCCTGGGTGACAGAGTGAGATGCTATCTCAAAAAAATTATAAGATGAAAATAATAATGTCCAAGTCTGCTAACACTGATATTAAGAGAGATGTTGCAAAGCCATGGGGGGTTATTTGGACAAACCTGATGGACACATAGGAGCCACCAGCTCCTGATGGTGTGTCTTGAATAAATGCACGTTGTGTGTGTGGATCTGAGGGAAGAACGAGGTGGGAAGAGGGGGACTTTGATGAGCTATTTCCCCCTCCTGATTTCTCTGGGTGGTGACTTCGGATGTGGCCACTACATGGCAACAAGGGTAATCCCACAGTTATCATTTAAAGAGGGCTGACTATGTGCTGGGCACTGTGCTATGAGCTTAATCTGTGTTAACCTTATTTAACAGTCATGCTAACCTCTTCCTATTGTTTCTTATTTTTATTTCCACTTTACACACAAGGAAACCAGCTTCCTCATGTTTACAGGGCTAAAGAACATGGTTAATCAGTGGGGGTAATTTGAATTTTTAAAATATAGACTGATTTTTTTGTTTATAGTCGTTTAGGGTTCACCCTAAAACTGGGTAGAAGGTATAGAGATTTCTATTTTTTTTTTTTTTTTTTGCAGTTTTTGGTCAGGGCTGGGTTTAAACCCGCCACCTCTGGCATATGGGGCCGGCACTCCACTCCCTTGAGCCGCAGGCGCCGCCCCAGAGATTTCTTTACCCTCTGCCCCCAAAGGCACGGCCTCCCCCACTATCAATATTCTTCCCCCTGCAGTAGTGCATAGAAATGAATTTGAACCCAGAGCCCATAGTAGTTAATTTCTATTATACTGCCTCACATGAGCCATGAGTTTCGGGAGAACTGCCCAGTCAGCTGTGACACAGACAGATGTATGTCATGGGCCGAGAGCAGGGGCGGCTGCAGGTGCCTCAGCCACATAGCTGGCACATAGCTCATCACACGCAAATGACAGACTGGGGATCTTAGTATGAAAAGGTTGGCCATCTTCACCCTTCTCCTTAGAAGCAGAGGCAGAGACAAGGATTCTTGTGCAAGTGATTTACTGAGGGAGTGCCCTCCGGAGGAACCCAGGAGGGAGCCAGGAAAATAGGGCAGGCTGGGGGCAAGATTACATGGTGAGGTGGTTCTAGAAGTCTGGCCTTGGCTTGGTCCCAGAAGGAATTCTGGAGTCCTGCACTGGGGCTAGGAGGCTGGACAGTTTTATCCCCCAATCTACTCTCCTGATTGTGGGTTACAGGTGGCCTCCTGGTGGGTGGGGATGTGGGGCGGAGACAAGGCAATTTCCAATAGATCAAGGGCAACCCTTAGGAGAAGGCGGCAGATCTGAGTGCTTAGTAGCCAACACCCAGCTGCTCTGGGGGAGGAGGACCCAGGCCTAGGGGGGCGCTGGATGGTGCACCCACAATATCTGCTATGATCTATCCATTAGGGATAGATCACAACTATTCTATTCACAACTATTAACTGAGCACCCCTTGTGGGAGCAGAGGACACAAGGAACAGACGTGGGTCCTTCCTCTGTCTGCACCAGGGTTGTTGAGGGAGATTAGAGAAGCCCCAGGTACGATTCAAGGTAAAGCTGGGTAAGCTGCAGAGCCAAGAGGGGCTATGGGAGCTCCAGCAGGGGCAGAGGGGTCAGCCTGGGGAGCCTCCTGGCAGCAGCCCTTGGACCCTGAGGAGCTGGGGAGGACTTGTCCTTCAGGAAAGGGCCACAGAAGCATTGCTGCAGGAGGCCCACCCTGAGCAGACGCCGGAGGCAGGAGGAAATACTGAGACCTTGGCGCCCAAGCCCCCAGAGGGACTGACAGAGCGCCTTCTCAGTTCTGTGTCCAGGACAGGTGTGGGCTCCATATGAAGGGACCTCAGAGCCTCTTCAGGGAGAGGGACACAGGGCCGGACGATGTGGGGTCTGAAAAGAAGCTTTATCCTAGGACAGGGGAGGACCTTTGGATTTTAAGAGAGAGAGTCTCACATGGACAGAAGGTTCAAAATTGCCCTTTGCGGGTTGTAAGGAGTATCAGAGGACATGAGATGGGGGTATAACAGCTGAGGGGCAGTGAGAGGGAGCCAGTCCCACACCACCGACCTGCCACAGCTGCCCCCAGACATCTGTCTCCACCTCTGCTGCTTTGGCCCAAACAGCATTCTTGGGGGTTCCCGGCCTTGGCTTCTCTGGAGACCCAAATGCACCCCCAGAGGAGGTGGCTGGTGCCTCGGTGGGGAGGAGCCAGGTCAGGAGGCGCATGGGGAGTGCTGGGATCCCCGTCCCCCAGGTCAGGGAAAGCCAGGTACTGGGGCCAGGGTGTCAGCGATTCTGTGGGACTTCCAGAGCGCAAGGTGCCGAGGACCAGGGCAGGGGGTGGCTTCTCCTAGCACATGGGGGCCTGGCCCTCACAGCGGGACCGTCGGTAGTAACGCAGGTGCTTGTTGTAGGTGTCCAGGTTGCGCTTCAAGCAGAAGGCCACCTCCTTGTCACAGGCACACAGCTCCTGCTCACACCAGCTCCCCTTGTCGGCTGTGGGCGGAAGAGAGGAAACTCGGTGTCTATCCCTTCCTGAGGCAGAGCCAGGCGTGGGCCCGGGGGCCTGTGAAGGCAGCTCAGAGTCTGCGCAGCTGTGGAGGTACCTGCCCCTGGGACTTTGATTCTAGCTGCATGGCTTGGGCATGTACCACGACCTCCCCTTTCACTAACAATTACTGAGCACCAACCCTGACTGGTCCCAGGGGGAGGAGACCACAGGAGGGAACAATCCTCCCGTGCTGAGTGAAAGGAAGGACCCACGTGGGGCTAGATCATCAAACAGCTTCCAAAAGCCAGTGCAGTGGCCAGGCAGGGGTCTCACTCCTGTAATCCCAGCACTCTGGGAGCCTGAGGTGGGTGGATTGCTCATGAGTTCAAGACTAGCCTGAGCCAGAGCGAGACCCCATCTCTAAAAATAGTCAGGCGTGGTGGTGGGTGCCTGTAGTCCCAGCTACTTGGGAGGCTGAAGCAAGAGAATCGCTTGAGCCCAGGAGTTTGAGGTTGCTGTGAGCTGTGATGCCACGGCACTCTACCCGGGGCAAAAAAGTGAGAGACTCTGTCTCTAAAAACAAAACAAAACAAAACAAAAGCCACTGGAGCTGGGATCTGGTGTCTGCTGCTCCTAGAGAAAGTGGGGCAAGGAGACGAGTTCCTAGTGGATGGAACAGCAGGTGTGAAGACTCCAGGCTGGGTGTGGTGCTTTAGTTTCCCTGTCTGGGGGGACGGGGGTTACTGGTAAAAACTACCTCAGGGCTGCCTTGAGAGTTAAACTAAGAAGACACGGCAGTTAGCATACAGTAAGTGCTCAATAAATGCTGGATCTGATTGTTGTTACTATTACATGAGCTGACATTTTTTCCTCCATGCTGGGGACATTGAAGTGGACTCAGGGGCCCTGTGTCCTGGGGTGGAGCCCAGGCTCTGTCCTTTGCATCTGTGTGATCCTGGGCAGACTCTTCCCTGTCCTAGTTTTTCGGTTTCCTGTTCTGTACGATGGAGCTGATCAGGGTTTTGGTGCCTCCTTGTTGGGCTGTTATGAAGATCAATAATGGTAAAGATAATTGCTGATCGGTAGCCCGTGTAATTCATTGAGCATATACTCCGGGGCAGCAGGCAACCTGCAAGGCCCTTCCTGTCTGTCTCATTTTAGTTCTTGCAATAACATTTGGCATAGATTGCAGAGGAGGATACTGAGGTTCTGAGAGGTTAACAATGTGTTTTCGGTCACAGAACTGGTTGGTGGTGGGCCTGGCTTCCAGGACCTAAAGGGTTAACCTCCCATGGGCCCTCTCCACACCCTGGTGCCCATTCCTGTCCCCTCCCCAACAGCCCAGCTGTGGTGAAAAACAAAGAGGTCAAACAGCTGTGCTGTGCAGGCGGGAGGGCCAGAGCTCCCTTCCAGGGCCTGCAGGTCCATCCCTGGGGCCCAGCACTCACAGCAGTGGACTTCCCCCTGGGAGAAGTTAAAACTGTAATGGTCTGTGTGGAAGCGGCATCCGTGGGTCTTCAGGTGGGCGTAGCAGCAGTCGTGAACCTTACAGCACCTGGAGGGAGAGGACAGAGCTAGAGGAGGAACAACTGAATGGTCCCTTTGTACTGGGGGTCTCTGAACCCACATGCCCACCTGGGAAGAGTCAAGACCTGCAGGCTCAAGTCTTCCTTACGACCACGATAGCTAGCACTGACTAAGCGCCTCTTAGGTGCCAGTTGCCTGCTTTATCTATGCTTTCTCTCTATCCTTGAGACCATCCTATGATAGAGCTACTAGTATTATCCTCATTTCACAGATGAAGAAACTGAGACTCAGAGAGGTTAAGCCACTTGCCCAGGGTCACGCAGCCCACAAATGACAGACTGAGGAGGTGACCCAGGCCTGGCTGGCTCTCATCCCTCCTCTGGGTGATTCCCAGTGTGGTTGTGAAGATCAAATGAGTTAATGGCAAAAGAGGAGGGCTTTTAAAGACAAAGTACAGTGGCAGTGGGGGAGGGGTATGTGGGTGTTATAGCTAGATTAGGCTGTGGGCATGCTGGGAGAGCTTGGGCTTTCAGAGACACTGGGGAATCGTCTAGAAGGCTATGACTGGGCACTCAGCAGAGTTCCTGGTATACAGTAGATGCTCAACAAGTGAATTCACTAAAGGAATAGATGACTGGAGGGGAAAGGTGAGAGTTCTGGGGTGGAGGATAGGATGGCCCTGGGGAGGGGTTACCAGTCCGAGGCATCTTTGGGCTGGCCTCTGCCACCAAGCCCACAGTGACAGCCATAGGGCCAGTAGGAGAAGAAGGGTATCTTCCCGGTCACTTGCTTGACCATCTTGTTCAGGTTCAGGATCCCGCCCTGGGTTGGAATCACACCTGCCAAGCAGCCCAGCAGTGAGTCAAGGAGGGGAGCAGAGGGGTCTGCCAGCGGCCCACAGCATGGGCATGTCTGCTCTGCCAGATGACGATGATAAAATGATGACAATTCCTACTATTAGTGACAATACAGTGACAATTATTGCATATTTACTAAAGGTATTTTTTTGTATATTGATTTATCCTATCCCATGAGATAAATACTTTTCTTTAAAATAAATAAACTTTTTATTGTGGACTAATTCTAGATACACAGAAAAGATACAAACATAGGTCCAAGTTCTATACTTCCAGTTTCTCAACAGAGCATGCCATATAGTTTGGCCACCCAGAGCTCTCTGGCTGAAGCCATCGTCCAGGGGACTGGGAGCCACTGATGGCTCCTTGCAGGGGGAATGAGAGCCGGAGCACTGGGATCAGAGCAGCAGCAGCCCAGCCTAGGAGCAAGCACAGGGCACAACAGCCTCCCTCCTTCCCTGCCAGCTGTGGGTCCCAACACCACTCACCTGCCACCACCACCAGTGCCCACAGCAGGGGAAGTTCCATGATTCCAGCACAGAGCGGTGCTGAAGTCTCTGTCCATGCCAGCTGCCCCTTATATCAGACACACCCACCTGGCCTCTCTGTGCCCTCTGTCCCAGCCCCTGTGCTAGTGGAGTCAACACACACTTCTTCTGCTTCCCTTTTTTTGGCACTGGGGAATTTTATTATTTTTATTCTTAACATCTGTTTTCTCTGCCTCTCTTTTTGATAAAAAGAACCCTATATTTCAGTGTAGACAATTTGGAAAACATAAACAAGAAATTTAAAATCACCCGTGGGCTGGGTGTGGTGGTTCATGCCTATAATCCTAGCATTTTGGGAGGCCAAGAGTTTGAGACTAGCCTGGACAACACAGTGAGACCCCATCTCTACTAAATAGACAAATTACTTGGGCATGGTCGTGTACACCTGTAGTCCCAGCTGCTCAAGAGGCTGAGACAGGAGGATCACTTGAGTTTAAGAATGTGAAGTTGCTGTGAACTATGTTCAGGCCACTGCACTCTAGCCCCATAGACAGAGTGAGGCCCTATCTGGAAAACAAAGTAAAACAACAACCCCCCCCCAAAAAAAAACCCATACAAAAAAATGTATAAAATCGCCTGTGAATTTATTAAGCACCTTTAAAAATTTGGTGCATGCCCTCTGGTCCTACTGTGGATTCTCTCATTCTTTGTCTCTCCCTCTTTCTGGAATATTCTATCTCTATACTTACCCCTGGCCAAATTAGGAAAATAGTACACGCAATACATACCTTGTGGCTTGTTTTTCATTTCCTGATATAACGTGACCGTGTTTCTATGTTGTTAATTACTCTTCCGCAGTAATGCTTTGAAAGGCAGCCTAGGCATTCCCTAACACGGCTGGGCATTTATTTACCGAAATCCCAATTGAAGGACGTAGGAGTTGTTCAAAATTTTTGACTATTCTAGACTGTACAGTGAAAAGAAGGCTGACCTCTGTTCGTGTCCAGAATTATTTCCGCAGGATCTATTCCCCATGTGCACTCGCTGAGTCAAAGCGCATGCACAATTTGCTGGCAACTGGTGTGTGTGGACAACTTACCGTGCAGGAGGTTGGCCCCGTTCACATGTGAGAATCTAATGAGGGAAGCGGAGTTGACCCAGCCCAGTGAGGGCAGAGGTGCTGATGGCAGGACACACAGGTCATGGCACAGCAATGGTCAGCCGCCAGGGCTCCGCTGAGAGCCTGGTCCACACACAGAAGAAACTGTTTTCTTTGGTGCCTGTTAGATGGCTGTTCAGGGACAGAATGCCCAAGGCTGACCACTTTGGTGCCAGCTAATCAGGTCACACCAAAGAGTATGCCAGCAGGTGCACTGCTAGAGAGCCCCCCTCTCTCCCTCACCTCTGTTCCCCTCCTCTCCCCGTTCCTTTCTTTTTTGAATCCCATTTTTGCCTTTGTTCCTTGACTCAATCAACAAACTGTCTCATATGTGAGTCAACAATCTATATGCAAAATAATGCAACTGCCAGCAAACTAGGTCTTTCTGGCACATTCTTTGGAATGCCCTCACCTCCCCCCGTTGTAGGCTCAATACTCACTTCCTTCTGCTCTTACCAACATGATTCTTCACCCTAAAAACAACCCTCTTTTGACAAGCTGTGTAGCAGCCTCCCAGAACCCCAGCCACCCCCTCTCTATATCCTTGGGTCAGAACAAAATCCACCCTTTGTTGACTCCAGAAGGCTTTTCCCTGATGAGAGGGGAGGCACTGTACTGACGCTGCAGAGAGACCCTAAAATCCCAGCATCAGAGCTGTCTCAGACACCTCCAGCGGCCCCAGGGCATTATTGACAGGCTGGGTTTGGGATCAGACAGATCTGGTTCAAATTCTGGCACCTTCTCTTACCAGTAGTAAGACTCGGGGGCAAAGTACTTCCAGAGACTTGGTTTCCTTATTTGCAAAAGTGGGTGTGTGGTCCCTCCCCTCTCTAGTTGTTGTGAGGTTTAGACACAACGTCCGTCCGTATAACACATAGCCCCAAGCCTCACCCCCCAGGAGAATGCCACCCAGTAACCGCAGCACCACCAGTAAGATAAGAGGATGGGAGGGATACCAGTGAAACTCGGACCGCCTGGGTGATCAGCCTGGAGCAAGCGGCTTACCTCTGTGTCCTCCACTTCCTCGTGTATAAAATAAGAGTGATGATACTTTATAGTGCTGTTGCGAGGATTAAAAGAGATGCTATGTGGGCAGCGCCTGTGGCTCAGTCAGTAGGGCACTGGCCCCATATACCAAGGGTGGTGGGTTCAAACCCGGCTCCAGCCAAACTGCAACAAAAAAATAGCCGGGCGTTGTGGCAGGTGCCTGTAGTCCCAGCTACTCGGGAGGCTGAGGCAAGAGAATC